AGGGACGGGGCGGATGGGAGAGGCGCCGGCGCGACCGTACTTGTTCCTCCGCGGAGCGCTCTTCCGGGGGTACTTGGGCTGGCGCCGGAGCCGCAGGGTCTTGGGCCGGCGGAAGGTGGGAGATGTGCGGATCTTCTTCTTCTTGTGACTGTGGACGCCTTTCAAGACGGCCTTCTTGGCCTTCAGAGCCTTGGACTTCGCCTCGGTCTTGGCAGGGACGGCTGCCGGGAGCAGTGCGGGGTCAGGGACTGCATCGCCTTGCCCCCCATCCTGACCCCCACTCCCTGAGCCTGCCACATGCGCCTGATCCCGGCACCAACCCCACATCGTGGGCCTGATCCTGGCCCCGATCCTGCCATGCGGTCCTAATCCTCGCCCCAAACTCCCCGTGTGGGCCTGATCCTGGCTCCAACCCGCCCGCCCCCATGTGGGCCCGATCCCGCCACGTGATCCTGATCCCGGCCCCAGCCCCAAATCCCCCTACGTGGGCCGGAAACCCACCCCAAGAGGTCCTGATTCGGGCCCCAGCTCCAACCCCCCCACGCCGCGTGGGCCCGATCCCGGCTCCAAACCCGTCACGTGGGCCCGACCCTGGCCCCAGTCCCGCCACGTGGGCCCGATCGTGGTCCCAGCCCCAAACCCCCCCACACGGGCCCGACCCTGGCACCAGCTCCACATCCCCGCCCCACAGGGGCCCGATGCTGCCATGCGGACCCGCCGCTCCTCACCCTCCTTCTTGGCCTTCGGCGCCATCTTGGGGAAGGAGGAGAAAGGGACTCGCGCGGCCGCTGGCACGGGCTTATGGCCGAGCTGATCTCGCGACAGGACGCGGGGCAGGGCCGCGAAGCGCGCGGAGGCCGCCGGGAGATGGAGTTCTCCGAGGGGGAGGACAGAGGGCGGTGGAGCATGCGCAGAGCGGCCGGGGGAGTCCGTGCGCCCTCTAGAGGCAATGTAGGGCGTTGCTGGGGCAGGGCTGCGGGCGCAGGGCAGCCCTGTGTCCTGCCCCGAGCACCGTGTCCTGCCCAATGCTCATGCATGCACCGTGTCCCGGGCGTGTCCATGTCCTGCAGCGTGCCCTGCCCAGAACTCATGCATGCACCGTGTCCTGCCCCGTGCACCGCGTCCGAGGCGTGCCCCGTGCCAGGCAGTGTCCGGGGCCGTGCCCGTGCCCGTGCCCGTGCCCCGCGGCAGGAGCGGGAGACGCGGGCAGGACAGGACAGGGTGCCGGGGCTGAGCGCGGCGGCAGCGCGCCCGCGGG